CCCCCCACAGTAAAAACCGGTCAGGGTTTGAACATGGACCTGTGCTGATTTGTTGGTAGGGAGAAAAGCAAGGATTTAGCTGGTTTTACCTGTGTTTAAGTCACAAGCTCGTTTCTTTTCACTATCTTGATATGCTGGTTTATTTCGTGTACAGGATTATCTTTTGGAATAAAGCTGTTCATTGTGAACCCTATATATCATCGTTTTCCAAAGGTAACCTTATGCTTCTTTTGTCCTTTTCTCCTTTTCATAGTTGACAATAGACAGACTTTAACCCATTACACTCTAACATCAGAATTCATATTCTCCATACTGTTTTCTATACATTTCTGAAGGTGCTAACCTGGAGAATTTGTCGAACAATGAATGAATAGCTCTTTTAGTTGTTGATTATTACCTTTCTTCTCGTGATCTTAGCGGGGTGATATTGTAAGGAGAAATTAAATGCTGACACTTAAAGGGAGTAATGTGGTGATAACACTCTGTTGTAAACCATTTCTGAAACTGTGTTACTTGGAAACAGGTTAAGAGGCGATATGATGGTACTGCCAAGTTATGGGAAGAACTACCAACTGAAGCAGACTTGGTTGTGTCGCAAAATGTAGTGAATGGCAATCAAGAGGTACTTATGATCAGTGGATACTTTAAATCCATGTTTGTCTTGGTCATCTTTTTTTTGTTTTTATCTGAAAGGCAGGTATAAGATTATGTTGTCCTCTAGTTTAATTATTTTCTTTCGGTATGCGAGAAGAACTTGCGTTGTTGGCCAAGCGTGAGTTTGAAATACTTGGATCAGCATGGCCAACATGTCTTTTGCTTTTTTTTATGCACTAAAACATACCGGTAATTTGGTCTGCAAGACTGAACAGAGAGGAGAAGGTAAACCCGTCTCGCCAGCTTTGAAGCCCAGCAGAAGGGTGCTTTCCTCTTGCTAATTCGCGGAAGTAGCCACCTAACACGTCACCTTACGTAATTTACCAACGCTCTAACTTCTTCAGAACTTAGGGCGTTCTACATCGGCGACTTCTTTGTCAACGCCAAGTGGCAGTTCATCAGAGCACCATATCAGTCCTTATTCAAATCCCTTGGCCGAGAAATTTAAGCTACCATCAAGTGAAACCGTTTTGCCAGGTGAAGATCTTGTTATATGTTTTATACTATTAATGAATTTAAAACGGGTTGTGAAATTGTTGAGAAAAATTTACGATCGTAATACAGTCCTCAAAAAAAAAATTCGCCACCACATAGTGCGATGAAGAACATAGACATCGCCCATCGCCCATCGCCCATCGCCCATCGCCCATCGCCCCTCACCCCTCGCCCCTCACCCCTTTTCAAAGTTGTTTCTGCCGGTTTAGCGTAAGGGTTTGTAACAGTAGCATCTTGAATCAAGGTGTATGGGTGACCGAACTCAAGAGTTCTAAGAGTACCAGACCCCCGGAAAACCTACGTGTGTCAAATCTTCCCGCGGGTCGAGAAACGTGCGTCCTACAGCGCTGATTATAAGGGCGTGGGCCTGGGAGCAGGTGACGTACAGCTATGCAGGAGTGAGATGAAGGGCTCAAGCATCGGACATGAATTGCGACATAGGAGTTACCAGTTACGCAAATTGCAGTTCAGAGAATTTCTTTCGACAATTACACATGAATTGTTTTCTTTCTGCGTTTGTCTAGGTTGGGAAGAAGGTAAAAGATGTGCTTTGCTGGACAAAGACAAACCTTTTTCCAGTGTTAAACATGGAAAATTGTTTCTGACTCAAAGGTAGATCGCTTCGTCATTTTCATTGTTCGTTTTATTGTTTCACCCCCAGATTTACTGATGTTCGTCTAAAACCTTTTCGTTGCAGTTATTTATGCTTTGAGAAGACGAGATCGTTAAGAGGAAAGCAGATCGTTATTAAACTGGATACTATTATCAGCTTGAACAAGGTATGGGGGAGGTCGACGAAGAAAAAATATTAATGATCAATTAAGTGATCAGCAAACCATCCAACCAACTAAGCAACCAATGACTGTCAAATATATCGGAAAGTAATCTGCTTACATTGTTCGTGTTGAGATCACTTGGCTCAATGGCGTGCTTACTTATCAGGGGTGCAACCTTTAGTGCGTCTCACCGCGACCCCCTTCCCCGTGGCATGAAAAAGGAACGTAAAACGACATAGTTCGCCTCCAAAGGCCTTTAAGATGCTGTAGCTTTGAGCTAGTAGGACCTCTTCCTTCTCCTTTCATTAGAAAACTCCGCCGCCCCTGAGATTCTCTCCCCCCCACCTTCCTTCCCTTTTCCCCAATACTCTTAGAATGTAAGGTCGGTTTGTCTGTTTGAATGTGGCGGGAAATGCGGACAATCTCTCTGACCGGCAGCTGTGATGACTCATAGTCACTTCAGTACATTCATTCATTCCTTCCTTCCTTCCTTCCTTCCTTCCTTCCTTCCTTCATTATCATTGGTTCATTCATTCATTCAATATCAATAGTTCACAGTATGGCATTTTACATGCACATCTCACATTATAATAACTCACGTACAACAAATTGTAGTTTTTTTTGTTTGTATTCAGGCGAAGCCAATAGCAATTATGCCAGGAACGGGGATGGCCTTAGAATTTAACGTTAGAGGAGTTNACGGGAGCTCTTTTGATTTCTAGCCTTATATTTTTGGTGCAATCATTTTACTTACGGGAGCTCTTTTGATTTCTAGCCTTATATTTTTGGTGCAATCATTGGAAGGGATGAGGTATATGAAAGTATAAGAGCCACTGGAAGGGCAGGAAATTTTCCTTGGGCGTGAATGTGAAATGGCGCTATTAACATTTTGAAACGGGATCAAGAACAAATACTGTATGTCACAGACTCTTGCATAGGTTTTTCTGCACTCTAAACTCTTGGCTGAAATAATCTATCCATAGAGCAACATGAAAGTATATGCCTCGGAAAAAGGAACTAGTAAGTCATACAGGATACAAAGAATAAGTTGTGTTTACAACAACTGATGTAAATATTGAGAAATATATTGGGTATCATTTCGCCATCAAGAGTGTATGGCTTTGTTTAAAGTAAACAAGAACTTTTATCAACGCGCCTTTTTAAAAAGTATTATTGCTAACTATTTTAGTATCATGGGTTGAATTTTCTCTCTTAAGAAGAATTGTCGCTAAATTATTGCACGCCAAAATATATACAATGGAAAAATTATGTTGTGTTTAAATTTTCGTAACAGTTTTGTAGTGTTTCCATATTTCTGTACTTACTGATTAGAGTTTTATCACGACAACGATATTATTTTCTGAGTTCTCAGAGTGTTTTTAAGACTATTATGTGTACACTGATAAAGTGAATGGTAGCTTATGAACATTTCTGAACAATAAGAAGGGAAATTTTTCAAAAATTCATAACGCTAACAGCTCTGTATTGCAACTGCGTATTGTCTTTGTCATTTAATTAAGCGATTTTCATCTTCCAGAAACCCCTTATATCTCTGTTTGATGGCAGTGTTCTCTTTATGTTGCCTTATTCTGGCACATGTTGTCATCTTGGGATATTCACATTTGTAAATTATGATCAGATTTTCCTTTCGAAGAGTAGGTCGCGCGTATCGATCCTAACTGACACGTTATACTCATTCCGTGACCAGCTGGCCTGTTCCGCGACCAGGCCTGTTCCACGACGTATCCTGTGAGAAGGCTCCTGACAGACCAAGGTCACGTGTCAGTGGCGTGATAAGAGAAGCGAGGCGTTGCAAGAGCACCAGTTTCCCTTATTTTTCTCCTCTTTTTTTCCACTTTTTCTTTGTTTTTTCTTTTCACCGTCTCAGGAAAGGAATGCGAACAATTGATCTGATAGGTAATCATCCGAAACACGCCCTGTCCCGTGCGCGTTCGAGCCTCTGTTCTTCGTGCAAGTCGTCAGACGCATATATATATCTTATTAACCAAGCGCGAGGGCCGTACTGGGAGAATATCGGCCCGAGGTCTTGACAGTACGGACCGAGCGCAGCGAGGTCTTGACAGTACGGACCGAGCGCAGCGAGGTCCGTACAAAAAAGACCGAGGGCCGATATTCTTCCAGTACGGTCCCGAGCGAGCTTGGTTAATAAGAGATTTATTATACGACTGAAGTTCAAAGGGACACAAGTGCGGTATCATTCGGGACCATTCGGGACAGT